GAGGAAGGCAGCAAATCACACTGCCATGTATGTTCCTATGCAACAATTTTGCATGTTCTTCACATGTACCCCAATACCTAAAATACAATAAAATAAATAAATGGGAAAAAAAAAAAAGAAAGAATGAAGAAACAGCCAGGCACTACGTTTTTACAAAAAAGAATGCATTCAAATATTACTTCTGCAATTTTTCTAAAAGTAAAATTAACAGGAGAATAGACCTTGCATCCTACAGTATACCGGTGATTGTTGGTGGAGCCTGGTAAATCCCGTCCAGAGACTAACGAAGTTTTCCACATTCAGGGAAATTCAGAAGAGTCATGGCCTAGAGACCAAATTCAACTTATTAGCAGCAGAAAACAATTGCAAAGAACATATCCTTCACACACACAGCCGCCAAACTCAACAGTAATCAACACTGAAGTCAGGAGCATATGGGCAGTTCTTGAGTTGGGAAGGACACAAGAACTGTCTGGGTCCTGAAGCCACCTGCTGTGTAAGTTGCGTGGTGACTAGAGAGAATTCTACTATGATACAACACAGAAAACATTTCTCTTCTAAGATGCAAGTACTGTTTCTAACTCCACAAATATGAGTATATATACATTAAGGTTGGAGGTATGCATCCTTCTACGAGCACCCAGTCAAGGCAGCTGCCCCGAGTCTTGTGTATTGTAATCTTGGCTGGCCAGAGTCTGAGCCTTCTCAGTGTCTTAGCTTCTGCACCACACTTCCTCAGTGTCCACCCCAGGCTTCCGGACTGGAAGGAAGGGGGCGGGGAATAAAAGTTGCCGGTGAGGCCCGGAAGTCACCACCTGCAGAGCTCCAGCCCGACTTTCCCTGAGCGCTGGGGTCCTGCTGGAACCTCCGCGACAAGATGAGCTCCGCAGCCGGGTCCCGCGCCTCCCGCCCGGGGCTGCTGCTCCTGGGGTTGCTGCTGCTGCCAGCTGTGGTCGCCTTCGCCAGCGGTGAGAGCAGAAGCCAGGCTGTGAGGGCCGGCAGCCGCGAGGGGGGTCCAGGAATCCCTGGGGCTGGGGAGGAGTCCTCTAGGCTCCTGATCGCGGCCACACTTAGCGCGCGCGTGCTGAGTGTGCGGGCACCGTGCCAGGAGCTGCACGGGCACCTCGCCACCTGGTCAGCACAACTTCTCTCCGAGGGAAGTATGATTTATGGCTAAGGAGAAGAAGGCTGGAGGTAGTGAAAAAGGTCCCTAAAGTACCTCTGGCCACTCATGGAGTCACCACCCCCTGCTTTCCCCCTCCTCCCCTCCCCTTCCCGCCCAGCTGATGCTGAAGAAGGAGATGGGGACCTGCAGTGCCTGTGTGTGAAGACCACCTCCCAGGTCCGTCCCAGGCACATCACCAGCCTGGAGGTGATCAAGGCCGGACCCCACTGCCCCACTGCCCAACTGATGTGAGTCCTTACACTGCATCAGTCAGTGCCCCCTTCTGTGACTCCTCTGCCCATCCCATCCCTTCTAATCCCATCTGCAAACCCAAGGCCTGAAAGACCACTTCTCTTTTCCCTGTCAGAGCCACGCTGAAGAATGGGAGGAAAATTTGCTTGGACCTGCAAGCCCCACTGTACAGGAAAATAGTTAAGAAACAATTGGAGCGTTAGCTACTAGCTGCCTAAGTGTGCACTTTCAATCTAACTGTGAAAGAATCTTCTGATGTTTGTATTATCCTTCTTATATTAAATTAACAAAGTAAGTCAGGTTGTGGTATAGTCAATCTATTCTTTAATAATACTGCAAAAAATAATGCTTACACATCACAATTTTATATTTTAAAATTTTCAGAATTTTAAGCAAAAAGCATTATGAAGGAAGGTTTGGTTTAATAAAGACTGATTTTGTTCGGTGTTATATGTTAGCTAATACAAGTTTATTCATTTCTATGATTTCAGTACTTTATAGCTACATATTTACCTTTTCGTTACAATTAGCTTGCCAATATATTAGTAGCACTTAAGCATTAATTCCTTAACAGTGGAGATATTAAGATTCTGGAAGCTAGGAGAAGTATGAGGTAATATTTTCATTCATCCTTTAGGAAGACATTGCTCTATTTTGGGGAGAAATGAAGGTGTTGTAATGTGGGCATATTAGTTTCCTGTTGCTTCTGTAACAAATTACCACAAACTTCGTGGCTTAACCAACACAGTCTTATTAGCTTGTAATTCTAGAGGTCTCAAGTCCAAAGTAAGTCTTAAAAGTTAAACTCAAGGTGTCCTCAGAACTGTATTCCTTCTGAAGGCTCTAGAAGAGAATCTACTTCCTTTTCTTTTTCACTTGCATTTTTTGCCTCACAGCCCCTCCCCCAATATTCAACCTGCATCACTCCAACTTCCGCTTCTCCTCTGTCTCTGCTGACTCTTCTACCTTTTATATCCTGCTTACCTCTCATAAGGAGGCGTGTGACTACATTGAGCCCACTTGGATAATTCAGAAACACTTTCCAACTCAAGATCTCTAATACATCTGCAAAGACATTTTTTTTTTTTTTTGCCATGTTAATCAACATATTCATAGTGTCCAGAAAATAGAACACAAGGATCTCAGGGGTGGGGACATTATTCAGCCTACCACCATGGACCAGAAGGCGGAACCTACTTGAGGCAGGAGAAAGCTACAGGCCCTTGTTCATGAGCTAGTGCTGTTTTAACCTAATGTGACAATGTGTACAGGTAGGATTAAGATCCATGATAAAATACAGATGATACCATTCAATCTCTGTGGTGGGCTGGAAGGGAGGGAGGTACCTAGGATAACTAATTAAAGTAAACACAATTTATAGATGCTTACGAATATCATCTAAAATTTGCAAGTTAGTATTATAGAGATGAGGTGACAGTCTTGGAAAGGACACAGCTTGTCACAGACTGAGTAGGTCATTCTGACTCCCAGCTCCCTGCTCTTGCTTAGAGTATTGTGCTGTCTTTCACACAGGAAAGTGAAATGTTAGCGATTCCATGAACTAGCTCTTGAAGGGGGAATAGGGATTTGTGAAGGGGACCATGGGAAGACTGGAACTGCCTCAAGATAAGTAGAAAGACACAAGATAATTAAGTCATTTGCGTGTTTGAACAACAATTCATAGTTCTGCAGGGTTGGAGTGTCTATGAGGAGAGAGAATGAACAATGGTCTCCAACCAGATTTTGCCCATTTTGTGTTTTATTTTTTGTTTGTTTGTTTTTTTTAATCTCCAGTACAACTTATGTACTACTACCCAAATTATCTTTCCAAAACCCAAATATTTCATTTCCCTGAATAAAATATTCAAGGTCCAAAGTCCTTAGCCTGGCATCCAAGGCTGCACCATACTCACTTTTCCTCTGTGCCTTAATTTTCACCTGTGTGAAATGAGGGCATTATGTGTCTACTTTAGGGATTGTCTGTCGTAAGGACTAAACAGATAATATAAGCAAAATATTTGGCATAGTTCTTAATACACAGTCTGAGCTTAAAAATTAACAACTATTAATTGTATTATAGTATTATATTACTAGTGTCAATATTACTCTTAATGCACCATCCCAGTCAGTTTGGAGTGCTAAGAATTTTTTTTGTTTTTTTTTTTTTTAGACAGAGTATTGCTCTGTTGCCCAGACTGGAGTGCAGTGGCACGATCTCAGCTCACTGCAATATCCGCCTTCTAGGTTCAAGCAATTCTCATGTCTCAGCCTCCTGAGTAGCTGGGATTACAGGCAAATGACATCACACTCAGCTAATTTTTGTATTTTTAGTAGAGACAGGTTTCATCTTATTGGCCAGCCTGGTCTCAAACTCCTGGCCTCAAATGATCAATCTGCCTCAAACTCCTAAAGTTCTGGGATTATAGGCATGAGCCACTGTGCCCGGCCTGAGTAAGGAATTTAACAGATGGTGGATTTTTAGGTAATAAGTAGCAAAAAAAAAAAAAAAAAAAAAAAAAAAAAAAAAAAAAAAAAAAAAAAAAAAAAGAAAAGAAAAGAAAAAGAAAGAAAGAAAGAAAAAAACATTGCAATAGCAATAAAAATTGTTCAATTCAAATAAACTTTGAAGGGGAAAATATTGGAAATGAGATGTGTGTGGTGTGATTTTTTTTTTCTAATTTTCCTTTTGTTGTCTGTCTCAAACAACATACTTAGCTATATTTAATAATTTGTAGATTTGACTTTTAAAGGATTAAAAGACGAAAACACATTTTGTAATGTCAAACAATGCTGGAATGCTGATATTATATATATATACGTGTATATATATACGTATATATATATGCATATATATATGTATATATATATGTATATATATATACATACATATATATATACATATATATATGCATATATATATACGTATATATATATGTATATATATAAAAGAAACTTATTTGGCTCACAGTTCTGCAGGCTGTACAAGCATGGCACCAGCGTCTGCTAAGCTTCTGGCGATGCCTCAGGAAGCTTGTACTCCTGGTGGAAGGTAAACAGGGAGCAGGTGTGTGTGATGGATAATACTGATTGTCAACTTGATTGGATCAAAGGATACAAAGTATTGATTCTGGGTATGTCTGTGAGGGTGTTGCAAAAGAAGATTAACATTTGAGTCAATGGGCCGGGAAAGGCAGACCCAGTCTTAATTTGTTTGGGCACAATCTAATCAGCTGCCAATGCAGCTAGAATATCAGCAGGCAAAAAAAAAAAAAAAAAAGTTATAAAAAAGAGACTGGCCTTGCCTCCCAGCCTACATCTTTCTCCCATGCTGGATGCCTCCCACCTTTAAATATTGGACCCCAAGTTCTTCAGTTTTGGGACTCAGACTGGCTCTCCTTGCTCCTCAGCTTTCAGACAGCCTATTGTGAGACCTTGTGATCATGTGAATTAAAACTTAATAAACTCCCCTTAAATATATATGTATATATATTTAAATATATGTATTTATTTATGTGTATGTCTCTGTGTGTGTGTAAATATATATGTATCTATTCCATTAGTTCTGTCCCTCTAGAGAACCCTGACTAATATAGCATGCCACATGGTGAGAGGACAGGAACAAAAGAGAAGAAGGAGGTGCCAGATTCCTTTAAGTAGCCAGTTCTTCTGTGAACTAACAAAGAACTCATTAATTACCATGGGGAGGGAACCAAGTCGTGCATGAGAAATCTGCCCAAACACCTCCCATTAGGCTCCACTTTCAACACTGGGGATCACGTTTCTACATGAGATCTGGAGGGGACACACATTCAACTATATCAAGTTACTGCCTTTATCAGCATGGGCATGGGGAGAGTGCTTTGCTCCTGGGAAAATCCCAAGTGACACAGCAACTCCCTGTTGTTGTTTCAACATTCATGGAGCGATAAAGATTCAACGTACTTAAACTCCCCTCTAGTTGGAGGTAGTCAGCATAAAATGTCCACAGATGAGGGACTTACCTCATAGTCATGGCATCTATCAATAAAGCAAAACCATCAAAGAACATTTTGACCTTGTAAGTTATTCTGCATTTTTGTTAGTATTGTTTTTTTATTTCCTTCTAATACCTTTGTGGTAAAATAATTTCCTCTGTAATGCATAGAATATTGAAGATTTGGTTGTTTTCAAAGATATATTTATATTTTTCTCATTGTAAAAGACAATGCATGTTCACTAAAACAGAAAACAGAGGGAAAAAAATCCTATTTTTTAAAACCTGTAATTTCACCACTCCATCTTATTTTTCTTTTTGGAGATATTAGTCATTTGACACGGTTATAAGTTGAACTGCTAATTTTAAATAAAGTATCACTTATCTGAACACAATCATAAAGAAAACACTAATTATTTAAGCACATTGCAAGTAGTTAGGGAGCATTCCTGTTCCAATTTTACAAATAGGAAACCAAGTTCAGGGTAATAGAATTAGTTTTCTTTGGCCAGAGCATGAATAGCTAACCTATGTGATCTAGCATTCACTTATACATATATGTAGGACCTGTGCTTGTTATATTCACTGGTGTATATGTATGTGTGTATGAATGTAGGTATATATTTCTACACATATGCATATATACAGACTCTCACACACGTAAAACAAGTTCATAATACAATACTTACATTTGCTTTGTACTGTGTGTCCTCATTCTATTCTATTCTATTGTATCCTACCACATTCCATTTCTTAAAAGATGTTGGCCATACCTCTATAAAGTGATTTCATAACCTACTGATGTATCATGATGTGTAGTTTAAAAACACTTCTCCAATTCTTTGATTAAAGAGTTAAGTTCTGATGGTCCATATTGGATTCCACACTCCAGATAAAATGCTTGGAGAGCCAATAGGGGCAGGATACTGAAGCCCAGGGGAAAGTTAAAGCTCCTGGTCTATAGTCTTCCTTTAATCTCAATCTCCATCCCTGACCTGGGGTTGGAGTCTCAAGGAAACCCATGAAAAACAGCTTCTGTGGTAAAGATGTCACACCAAATAGGATGTTGTCTGGATTGCTGAGATTCTAGGTCATTTTCAGGTGGGACTACCATTTATATTCACTGCCCATCTGCTTCAGCCATGTACCTCCTAACTTGGCCCTAAATGCAAATTGAGTTAAGGATAGAAAACACATCGATTTCTAGGAGGACTTGGATAAAAGCAGCATATTCACACTCAGTGGACTTAACTACCTCTTACACAAAATTATTCTTGTCCTATGGGCCTTTTCCTTATTATTCCTGTAGATGCTGGCATTATCCCAGTGGGCTTTTGAGTAAGACAGTTTGGGTTGCATCTCGGTTTTGACTACATGTGATCCTGGTTCTCCTCAATTCACTTGTCACAAAATGAGGACAATAAAGCCCACCACACAGGGATCTTAAAAGGAATAAATCACCCTTATAATAGGACCCAACAT